ATCAGAAAGCAGGCCCCAATGCCCTCAGTGACCATGTGTGGAATCTGGTTAAGCAGCTGGCACCATCCAAGGAATAAAGAGCCAGCACGGTGGAACCAAATGCTCAGTTTAACGGTTACATCCATATCCACAGAGCTGTCCTTAGGGGGCATGGAACCTGGGGCATCACCCTACACCAGGCCCAAAACAACCCTTCTCTGCCCCAGACCCTGCCCCACATCTTCTCACCCCCAATGCACCTCTTCCGTGAAAGACGTGAACCGGGGGGATTACTTGGGGAGTGGGGTGGCACAAAGGTTGCCCCCCACCACTCACTGTAGCAACAGGAGCTGGTGTGACCTGGCAGCCTGCTCCGCTCTGTCACCATTTCCCAGCTGGGTTGCTCTATTTTCTGTGGCTCCTGCCACCGAGGTAAGCGCAAGGGGGACAACCCCTGCTGCTGCTGCCTTGTAGCAGACCCTCAGGCAATCCTCTAGGCCACTCTGGGCTCATGGGGTAGCTAACGTGGCAGGCTGCCCTATCCATAGGATGGCTTGGCAGCCCATGGCAGCCAACCCAAGCACAGGGCCTGGGGCAGCCACCCCAAACCATCTTAGGGACGGCTCTGCACATACAACCCATTCGAAACAACTTGGGCAAAACTCAGCCACAACTCCAAAGGCAGGTAAGAATCAGTCATCAAAACTGATGGTCTTTTAATTGATCTTAAATGAGGCTCCACCTCTGGTCTGGAAAATAAACATATTATGGACCTAAATATTGCAGTTGCCGGCACTGTGCTAGGCTGATGTGGCCACACAGTACCCACATACAGCTATTTTCACATGAATGAGAGTTCAGCCTGGAAGTGATGTGCTTCCTTGTTAAGCTTCTGGGCTTGCAGCTGACTTGTTAGGCTGGGCTACGTCTACACTGGCCCCTTTTCCGAAAGGGGCATGCTAATTTTCAACTTCAGAATAGGGAAATCCGCGGGGGATTTAAATATCCCCTGCGGGATTTAAATAAACATGGCCGCCGCTTTTTTCCGGCTTGGGGAAAAGCCGGAAAAAAGCGTCTAGACTGGCCCGATCCTCCAGAATAAAGCCCTATTCTGGAGGATCTCTTATTCCTAGCTTCAAAGTAGGAATAAGAGATCCTCCGGAATAGGGCTTTATTCTGGAGGATCGGGCCAGTCTAGACGCTTTTTTCCGGCTTTTCCCCAAGCCGGAAAAAAGCGGCGGCCATGTTTATTTAAATCCCGCGGGGGATATTTAAATCCCCCGCGGATTTCCCTATTCTGAAGTTGAAAATTAGCATGCCCCTTTCGGAAAAGGGGCCAGTGTAGACGTAGCCCTGCTGTTATTCCACTGAAAATCCACTGAGTGGGTGGATGAGCTGAGGAAATTCAGCAGCAACCCCGGGACTGAGGAGCATTTTATGCCTCAGGCTCCTAACGCTAACAAATGTGGTCAGTGATTTAAACAGGAGATGAGAAATAGCTTCCCTTCCCCCTCGTAACGAGATCTGTAGTATTCTGCACACTACAGTGAGATGGCTGGGCTGTGCGGGTTTAGGGGCAGAGTTCTTGTTCTATGTCACTTGGGTGCCTTTGGAAAACCCGCCGAGTGCAGGACTCTGCATTCCTTTGACACAGGTTTTCATGGACTACAAGAGGACTAACAGGGCACATTAATGCTACCCCTGAGTTTCCCAGGGTGGGCTGCTATTGAAAGGAAGGAGTGCTGGAGGAAAATGCCAGCTACATCTCCTGCAAAGCAGTGCAGTGCTCCACCCCCTAGGCCCTGCCTAAGTCTTTATAGCCCATGTGTTCTGCAGCATCACCATATGGTTCAGTGACCCTGACCTGTTTTATCTTCTCCCTCTGTTCTGACATGCTCCCGCTGGAGCTTATATGGAGGCTCTTCTTGAACATGGCCATGCGGGTCTTCCCTTCGTTCCTCTGGATTTTGGGGAGACGGCCTTTCTCCTGCTGCTGCCGAATCCTCAGTTGCTCAATCATTCGCTGGTTATACCGCTGCATTTGCTCCCGCTCCTGGAAAGAAAGCAGAGTCAGCCAACAGAAAAGGCAAGTTAGGCTGATGCAACAGTGGGTGATAACTGTGCTGGGGAAAGACGGAGAACACCACAGGATTGGTGACTAGAACACAGGCTCCTTCCTAGGGCTGTACAAATACAAGGCCAGGCAGGCTGTTAAATAGGTCACGGGGGGGGGGGGGAAATGTGTGTTGCAATTTCTTTTCATCTTAACTCCGAACAGGGACTGAGACCATGTACTTCCTTCTGAGTCTGTGATGTGGCCCGATGGGCAAGGACTCCCCATGCTTCAAATGGGAGCGGGGCCACTTCCATCGCAAAGAGAAATGGAGACAACTGAACATGGGCAAGATGCAAAGAGCCAGAATCTGAGCAGATGCAGCAGATGGCACCTCATGTAATTTGGGTCAAGGCAACATTCCAGGTGCAGAAACACAAGTGAAGTGCCAGCCTCAACCCTCAAGGGTGGGAACTGGGTCTCTTCCAAATCTTCTCATTTTGCAACCCTGGTTACAGGCATCTTACTGAAGGATGTCACATGAGTCCAGTTAAGTTTTAAGCCCAAAAGTTGCTTCATGCAACTGCTTTATACTCTCAAGTTCCCTTGCTGTCCTGTAAACCAGCAACACAGAAACCTTTTGGGAACAGCTCACTGCCTAAGGTCCCCAAGCACATGCTTTTTTCCTTAGGGCAACACAGCGGGGATCCCAAATATTAGCAACAAAACAGGCTGATGTTCACCCCTAGTTATTCTACATGCTCACCCACCTGTGACAACCACCATTCGTCATTCCCCGTTCCTTTCCTTTCAGGCACACGCAGTTCAAAAAGTGAAAGACAACCTCTTGCAGACCCATGGGGGGCAGAGGCTAGCTGCCTGGCTTGGCAGCAGAAGGGGGGGCTAGGTCAGGAAGGGCTGCACTGTTACCTTGTCATGCTTTCGGACCAGCTCGTGTCTCTGGAGGAAATACTGGTCCTTCAACTGTTGCTTGATAAGTTGGTGTTTCTCCTGTAGGTGGTGCTCTTCTAACTCCCAGATGGAGGCTTCTCGGTCTGAGGAAGAGGAGAGAAATTTACACACTCACCCCATCCCCACCCTCTTTTCCTGAGCTCCAATGATCCCATTACTCAGGAGCAGTACAGCAGATGAAGGGGCAATCATGCACCTTCCCCTGTTTTCCAAGAGGCCCTGGTTGCAAGCCGTAACTGTGAATTGGGCTTAATTATGAGGTCTAATTGGTTTGTATTTGTAAAGCGCTTTGGAGATTAAACTGCTAAGTATTATTATTATTAAACACTCAGGCAGGACCTGGCAAGGCTGTTTATTGCTAAATCCTTATCCTGCCAGCTTGCAGCCATGTCAGCATCTGTTGTGTGGGAAGAGCCAGTATTGGAGAAACCCATCGCTGCAGCCTTTGTTTTCTCCCTCCCCATCCCAACCCACTCACCTCTCATGAGCTGCTGCTTTTTGCTCAGGAACTCCCGCTCCTTGTCACAGATCTCCTTCTTGTTCTGCACCGTGATATTATTAATGGCCTGCTCCAGATCCTCTTTCTGCTTGGCTACAAACTCTCGTTCCTGGGGGGAGATGCCAGCAGAGTGAGAGGTTTTCCTGCTGTAACTTTGTACCTTTGGAATTGAAAACCCTGTGGCACTTGGAAGTAAGAAGCCAAGACATCATGTGCCCCTCTCCTGTATCACCTCTGTTCTTTAGTGTGGTGCTACTCCCTTTGCTGGGCTTACCGAGACTTGCTTCTTCTGCGCAAATTCCTCCGTCTTCACCTTCATGCTTTCCTTGCGCACGTGCCGGGGAAGCTTCTCAACCTCGCTCTTGAGCTTTGAGAAAGGAGAAGAGATTTCTCAGTGGGTGATTTAGGCTGAAGCTGCATCTCAGGAGCTGGGCCACAGGAACAAGCTTAGGGCATAAGAGAAAAGCAGAAGCCTTCCACTGAAAACAGCTACTGCTGGCTCTCCCTGTACCAGCCCCCTCCCCAAGACATTTCCTGTGCAAGGATGCCACGATCCACTCTTGGATGGAAAACTACCAGCTAGAGCAAACCACTTCTTCCCTGTCCCCTTCCCTTTACCTCCTTCTTCTTCTGCTTAAGCTGCTCCTGGAATTTGCAGTAGTCTCTTTCCTGCTCAGCACGGATGCGCTTTGCCTCTTCCCGCCGGCGGAATGAGTGATCCTGTTCCATCTTCTCTATCTGCTGCTTCTGCTGACGTTCTAGGTTTTCCAGCTCCGTGTCGTAGAATTTCTTTTTTGCCTACAAGTGAACAAGGTTCAGACTAAATCCTCAATCTTGAGCTTATTCCATCTCTGGGCTCCAACAGCTCAGCAGGTGAACTTTACTCCGGACATGAAATATCCTGCTGGGAGAGCCACAGTCCTGGGCAGAGTCCGGTCAGAATCCTTCTCAGAAACTCTTTTGTATTGCTCCTGACCAAACCTCTCTGACATCCAGGCCAAGCATAAGATTTCTTGCCCAACATCCCAGGCAGGGTATGCAAACCGCTGATGGACATTGCCTTCTGCTACATTTCACTGGATGTGGTTTGTTTGCTAAGTGCCTCAGGAGGCATTGGAAAAGGACCAGAAAAGGGCACAAAAGATGATTAGGGGTTTGGAACAAGTCCCATATGTCCCTAGCTTCTGTTTGTCAGAGGGTGGAGATGGATGGCAGGGGAGAGAGAGCACTTAATCATTACCCATTCGGTTCACTCCCTCTGGGACACCTGGCATTGGCAGACAGGATACTGGGCTGGATGGATCTTTGGTCTGACCCAGTATGGCCATTCTTAGAGATTAAAAAGACTTGGACTTTTTAGCTTAGAAAGCAGGTTTAAAACAAACAAAAGGAAGTTTTTCTTCACTCAGCACACAGTGTCGACCTCTGGAACTCATTGCCAGAGGACGTGGTGAAGACTAGGACTTGATGGTTGTTCAAAAAGAGCTAGACAGATTCATGGAGGTTACGTCCATCAATGGCTATTAGCCAGGCTGGGTAGGAATGGTGTTACTAGCTTCTGTTTGTCTGGAAATGGATGACAGGGAAGGGATCACATGAGGATTACCTATTGTGTTCCCTCCCTCTGTGGAATATGGTATTCACCACTGTTGGCAGACAGGGTACTAGGCTAGATGCATGGTTGGTCTGACCCAGTATGGCCGTTCTTACGTTCTAGGAGAACTGCATAGGAACACCATCGTTCCTTAGTGTGTCACACCAACTTGCTGGCAAAAATGTTAGCAAGCAGTTATTTCTTTTTAAGGAGGGACTCAAGACATGTCATATAGGTCAAGACTCTCAAATATTTAAAGGAAACATGGGAAATGCACATAATTCCCCTTGTCCTGGGGGGAGAGGAGTAGGATACACTTATCTGCTGGCTCTTGAAAGGTTTTTTACAAATCTGACTTGGCTATAAAAATATCCATTTACTTCAACACATGCCAACTGCTCCCCCTTGACCAAGCTCAGCTGAGTGCACAGCCTGTAAGTCATTGCAGCACAATTCACCTGCATTCAGTTTATACCCAAAGTTTCATCTACAAGCTTGGCTCTGACACCACCAGAATATGGTAATATAGCTGGCCCAGTACCTCCTCTATGCTACTGCATAGGGGGCATTTCCATGAGTTACAAAGGAAGTTCTATCCAATAGCAAACCAATGTAGGGCTGCCGGGTCCCAGAGCGTTTCCTTGATTTGTTGTGCCCTCTGAGTGATGCGTTCCAGTAGCACATAGAATCATTTCAGAAGAGTGAGCTAGGGTTCAGGATGAGTTTTCAGTGGCTTGCGTAAGCTGGTCAGTACCGTTAGAGCCCACAAAATCTCTCACCGTGTAGCTGCACAACAGCTGCAAAGGAGAACTTAAGCCAGCTGGGATGCAGGTTCCCCTTCCCCTTCTCACATACCGTCGTTTCTTGCTCAAAGCGCTTCAGCATCTGTTCCAGCTGCAGGTGGTGTTTGTTGTTCAGCTGGGTCTGGTTCCGATGTTCCTCTTTCTGAAGCAGGCGCAGCTCCCGCAACTCCTGGCGCCTAAAGGAGTTAAAAAAAATTCCAGGGTTGGTGCTTCACCCATGCAGGCAGAATTTGAAAGCGAAATAATATGGGAGCAGAAATAGCACCGTTAATGACCATTCAACCACAGTGCAAACGAGGGAGGTTCGATATGGATTAATTGAATAGCTGTATAACTGCATCAAATTTTAGCAGTTACATGACTTTTAAATGGCCCCTGGGGTCTGGCAGCCAGTGCACTCCAGACCCATTCCTGGGGAGCCCCCTGCCACCCCTCACTGCTGCTTCTCCATCAGAGGCTGTGGTGCAGGGCAGCAGCAGTCCCTGTCCACAGGGGGCCTGAGCTCCCATTGGACAGAGGCTGCACTGGCATCCCATGGAGCAGCCTTGGTCCGCGGCGAGCCTGGACCCACTGCAGACAGAGGCTGCCCTGCAGCAGCGCCCCCTGCCCACCCCCACGCTGCCTCTGTGGGAACATTCAACCATGTGGCTCTGCGGAGCTGGTACACAGGGAGAACCAGTTTAAAAGTCGGCTCCACATGCACATTGGCTGCTGCTTGCTCCCCCTCCCCCACTGGTGCCTCAGAGAGGCAGCAGCATAGGTGGAGGGGGAATGGACTTGAAAGCCAGGCCCCTTCACCCACCACGCTGCTGCCTCTCTGTTAGAGGAAGCTCTGTGGGATTCGGTGCTGGTGGGGAACCAGCTTAAAAGCCAGCTCTCCACAGGCACCAGCTCCCCATCCCACACTTGCTGCCTCTGATACAGAAGCAGCAAGGAGGAAGGAAATGCAGGCAGTCAATAGGATTAACTGATAAGCCCTGGCTTATTGGTTAATTGTTTAGTCGGCTACACATTGACATCCCTAGTGCAAACCAACCAACTACACTGGCACCCCCCTAACAATCAATAGAGGGTTACTGCTTTGAACTCCCGGAGACTCACTGATTTGCCTCTAGGCTCCAGTTCTTGGTCTGTAGGAAGGCAGCATGTTAGTCGTTAACGAGGGTGAGAGGGTCAAATCTTACAGGCATGGTCTGTTAGCCAGCAGAACAACACTGGAAGAAGCCCCACTTAGGGGATGTAAGTGACTAGTAGGGTGAGTACTCGACTAGTCCCCCCCATTCCCCACTCCTGCTGCCTCTGTATCTGTATCTGAGGCGGCGAGGAACAGAAGCAGATGCTGGAGGGATCTGGCTTAAAAGCCAGTTCCCCCCAGCACTGTCTCTGAGGTGCAGGGGGGGCAGAGGAGGCACCTCCCTTACTAATTGAGTAATTAATTAATAGATACTTAATACCTCTAGCCACAGTGCTTGGGACAGTTAAAACTTGTGTAGAGAAACACCATGAAGACCTACTTGCAGGAAACAAGCCCCTCTTACCCAGCAGGGTAAAACTAGCCTATCATGCCCCATCCAATCTAACTTTAGATGAAACTTTGCAATAGAATTCAGCCCGAGTTAGGGCTGCACTGTCCACCCTGCAAGTTCAGTGACTGCCCTGACTCAGGACACAGATGGCGGGAAGCGTAATTTTGCCACAGGAAGCAAGGAGATGTTACACCTCAGCTCTGATCTAGTCACTTGCCTTACACTGAAGCATCTGCTAGCAAGTCCTAGCATGGTCTGAGTGTCACATCCTCCCCCATTTGCCTGGTTTACAGCTAGGCTCAGCTGGAAATTGCTGATATACTGGGGGGAGTGGGGCAGTCATGGCTGTAAAGTGAAATTCCCAGTGTGACCTTTGCTACAGTGCATTAACACTATGCTCGCCAGCACATCACACCCCCACCGTATGGGAATCCTGCTGGGAAAAGCACTTTAGAGCAATTTCCTTTATCAAAACACTCTCACCCCATTAAATCAATTGGCCCAACAAGATCCTCTCCATTCCAGCCTTAAAAATCGATATCTTGGTATGTTCCAACAAGCAGCAGGAAAACAACCTGGATATGAAACTTGGGAGCGGGAAAGGATATGCAAAGAAAATGCATTTAACTTGCTAGGCAGATCCTATGAAATGGCAACTTTTCCTGAACACGTTTCTGTGCAGTGACGTGCTTTCAACCCAGTCTCTGTCCTATCTGCACCCTCATCACACAGAGCAGACTAGTTAAGAAAAGACTCAATTTTGAGTTACTCCTTCCCTGTACTTGGGCAGGAAGAAGAGGGCACAAGGTTGGCTTTCAGCCATCTTTGCATTCCCTGTGAAGACCTGCCTTGGCTTTCAGTGCACGTTTGAAGCAGCCTCAAGACTGCTCCAACTTAGGGTAAATTTCCCATGGCCCTTGGGAAACAGACTTGCTAAAAAGTCTTGTGGGAAAAGGGATAGCTTAGGCTTGTCATTAAGCAAAGGATATCCTCAGGGGGCTCTCCAGAGCAGTATTGAGGGACTTTGTAACAAAGAATCAGGCCCCAGGATTTTTGTAAGCCTTTCATTTCACTGTCACCACCAATAATAAACAGAATAAGCCAGAAGCAGCACTCTCTCCTCCCGCTAAAATCCGAGAAGCCTGACGGCTACAAAAACGTAATGCAATCAGAGCTTTCAAGGGCCTGTACATAGAATCATAGAACTGGAAGAGACCCTGAAAGACCATCAAGTCCAGTCCCCTCCCCATGGCAGGACTGGACCCCTGTGGTAAGTAGGCCAATGGTGGGAATATAGGAGTTGCTATAGAGAACTTTTTTTCTGGGTGTCTGTTTGGTGAGTCTTGCCCACATGCTCAGGGTTCAGCTGATCGCCATATTTGGGGTCAGGAAGGAATTTTCCTCCAGGGTAGATTGGCAGAGGCCCTGGAGGTTTTTTTGCCTTCCGCTGTAGCATGGGGCACGGGTCACTTGTGGGAGGATTCTCTGCATCTTGGGGTCTTTGAACCATCGTTTCAAGGACTTCAATATCTGAGATATAGGCGAGAGGATTATTCTAGCAGTGGGTGGGTGAGATTCTGTGGCCTGCATTGTGCAGGGGGTCAGAATAGATGTTCATAATGGTCCCTTCTGACCTTAAAGTCTATGAGGACCAAGCACTGTCTAGATCATCCTTCATAGATCTCTAGCCAACCTGCTCTTAAATATCTCCATGCTGAACACTAAGTGATCATCTGAGTTTTACAGCTTCTTAGTTGTTCCGTTAGTAAAAGTGTATCTGACCAAACAAAAGCCAAGGCACAAAAGCACCCTGAGAAGTTTTCTTAGTTTATTTTAGATGCGTTAATGTGCTGACGCTGACAGCTCTGGAAATGGAAGTAAGTTTAGCCATACAAGGGCGCTTGCCAAGACAGAGGTAGAACAAGTTTCCCCTACAGAGTGTCATTGGTAAGCCTCAGCACTGAATGCATGGCTGCAAGAGGGTAGCTCAACACCAAGGCCCAGGCCTTAGCCTCTACGGGGATTGCCACTGAGTGAGGCGATTTGCACACTGTGGATAGTAGAGATAACTAATTAAACGAATTTGACAACTGGTTAAAGATTATGTTTAGCAGGTTAACTGGGGGGGGGGCGTGAAGAAATTCCAGGGGAGGCACAAGGCAACCCAGCCTCCCCCCCCAATCAAGTTTTGCTGCCCCACTCAGTCCCTTTTTTTTCCTCAACAAGTTTTGCTGCTATTGGGGGTGGAGCATGAGGGTTTCTCAAAAATCAAAGAGGGGACATGATGCCGAAAAATTTGGGAATCACTGCTCTAAGAGGTAGGCAAGCCAGGAGCAGAGCAACAGCTGTCGGGGATCCCTTTAAGCCCGCATCTCTGCAAAGGACATGCAGCAGCACCTGGAAATAAAGGCTGCTCCCATGCCCTTCATGCTGGAGACAAGGACTTCTTCGGCCAGCCAGAGCAGCCCCTGCCTGGGACGTGCCACCCAGGCTGGGCCCTACAGGGCTGGAGCAGCCCCCTGACCATGACAGGTGGAGAGCTGTTCCAGCCCCTACTGCTTCACCATTCACATCACCTTTGTGAGCTGGGCCGTTTCCATTAACACTCCGCTACCCCATCGAGAACAGAGGCCACGGCTGGGTACGTGCTCAGGTGAAAGTCTGTCCCGTCACTAGTCCTGGGAGCTAGCCAAGCCAACCCTCCCAAATTCCCAGTGACCAATTTCCAACTTGCCTGAGGAATCTCATCTCTTCGTCTTTCTTCTCATCCTCGCTGATGATCTTGGAGGTGGTCACGCTTACTTCCACACCGTCCACCACAAACTTCCGGGTTCGCTTCAGTGTCTTGTTGTGCATCCGGGAGTCCTAACAGGCAGCAGGGGAGAAGGGAAACAGCCAAGGGAGGCGGTGACATGAAATTCTAGGTGACAGTTTAATGCGTTCTAGGAGCTGGGGCTTTGCCAGTGGCCTCTGACAGCTAAGCACTGTGGTCAGAGAGCTCAAAAGGATTCCATTAGCATTTTTAATGAAAAACATCCGCCTCCCAACAGCAGAGAGAGAACTCCCTCCCTCAGCTCTATGCAAACTGCTCTGCCTCATGTACCCTGCAAACCCACACTGTGCGCTCCTCTACAGTTAAACTGAAATACTGGGATCACATGAGCACAGTCAGCATCCTCCATACAAAAGCTTTGCTCAAAAACAGAAGCAATTCAACAGCTGAAGAACTCTCTCCTCCATACCTACCCTTATAAACAGCTGATGTTTGTATCAGACTAAGGTGTAAACTTTTAACAGTGAGAGTAATCAGCCACTGGAACAATTTGCCAAGGGAGATGGTGGATTCTCCACCATTCAGAATTTTTACATCAAGATTGGATGGATTCCTGGAAGATCTGCTCTAGGAATTATTTTTCAGTAGTTCTTTGGCCTGTGTTATAACAGGAGGTTCAACTAGATGATCATAGTGGTTCTTTCTGGCCTCAGACTCTATGAATGCAGGAATCCACAGGTATGACGTGTCACCTTTCCCTTTGGAAGCAGGTGACAGCTGAAAATGTCTATACTGCAATCACATCTAGACTGCACTTAGAGATCTGCAGCTGGGCTCTGCCAGCTGACTCTGGCTTGTAGGGCTCAGTCTGTAGGGCTGCTTAATTACAGTGGAGATGTCTGGCTCAAGCTGAAGCTCAAGGTCTGGGAGCCTCCTACCTTCCAGGGCCCTAGAGCCATCTTTGACAATTCAACAGCCCATTAGTCCGAGCCTGCTGGCATGGGCCAGCCACAGGTTTTAACTGCTGCCTAGACATATCCTGAGGTGCTGCAGCTCCCAGTAAACACAACAGAAGCTGTGGATCAGACTTCATCTTCTGAATCAGAATTTGGGTCCCTATATTACTAGAAAATTGCTAATCACCAGCAGCTCTGAGCTGCTTACAGGAAAGGAACAGACAAGCGCCTCACTTTGACTAGGACACGTAAGGAAAAGCGTTTTCGTGCTCTCATTCAGTGGTGCAGCAGGCTGTGGCTGCCATCTGTTCTCATGTCTTACCACCTGCACAGCATACAAACTCCTGCTCTAAGACGGAATTATTAGTTTCCTCAACGGCATTTTTATGGCACTCGGCACTGTATGCACCCGAGTGCTTTCCAGAGATTAGTGAGTTTATTTTCACAATACTCCAGAGAGGCATTATGGCCTAGTGGATAGAACACTGAAGTTGAACTCAAGACCTGGGTTTTAAGTCTTGTCTCTGCCATTGGCTTGTTGGATGACCATGGGCAAGTCACATTACCTCTTTGTGCTTCAGTTTCCCCACCTGTAAAGTGGGAATAATGATACTCCTGTGTAAAGCTCTTTGAGATCTACTGACAAGTGTGTTCTGCAAGTACCAATCATCATCATCACCATCATCTCATTCTGCAGATGGAGAACTGAGACAGAAATTAAGGTCAAGTGTACACTAATTTTAGGTGTCTATCCTGAGATGTGAGGCCCTGATTTTTCAGTGTATTTAGTTTTCTATGTCCAGAGCACAACTCTTACTGACTTCATTTGTCCCTGAGTGTATTCAGCCCTCAGAGTAACATGCTGGGCACTCAGAAAAGGAGGAACACGCAGTAAATGGCACCATGAAAAGCTCAGTTTAACACAAACTACGCAGCAGGGGCAGAATCCAATTCTGCAGATATTTAATGACAGCAGAGGAATGCTGAGATTCAGGTTCTGTTCTAGGTTTTGAATGGGAGTGTACTCCTCTACTGGTCACAGACCTTTCTGTCCCTATTAACTTGTGTTTTTATCCCCATCCCCCCTCCACAATCGCCAGGTTCCTTGTTCTAGTCTCCTTGCCCAGCCAGTCCCTAATTTCATGATCAAACACCAACCATTTTTGTTAAAGTTTCCAAAAAGATTCAGTCCAAGGCAGCATGGGAAATTCCTAGCCAAAATGGTTTATGTTTGGCAAGGAGACATAAGCAGCTAAAACCAAGGTCTTAAGTGCTGGGCCACCTCGACTTTAGGTGTCTTTACAGTGCAGATAAAGGCATCCACCCAGAGTCATCTGCACAGGTTTAGGGATACTGGCTTAATTCACAGCTCACATTATCTCAATGCAACTTTCCACAGACAAGCCCTTAGCCCTTTATGATTCAGTGCAATGTACACGGGGCTCCATCTAGCAACTGCATGTGTAAGTGTGGAGAGATCATCTGGAGAATGATGAGAAGGCAGTAAAGACCCCTTTGTCCCTCAGCTGCCCCCAACATCTGCACAGTACATGAAATAAACAGACAAGCACAGTCACTTCCCCGAATGTAAACGGGAGCCCCCTGGAAATCCTAAAGCATGCCAGAAACATCTGCAGAGCAGAGTCCAGCTGAGCCCTTCCCCACAGTCCAGTCAGGAGGAAGGGAATTTAATACACAGACCTCCATCCAGAAGGGCTGAAAATGTGTAAGGGGCGGGGGGGATGGGGGGCTCAGCTCTTCTCAGTTGGGGCATATGGAGGAAGTCTGTGCCTGGGCTTTGCTTTCACTTGAAAATTTTAAGAGAGAGCCACTAAAAGACACTTGCACTCGGTTTCGTAACAGGCCAAAAAGGGAACGTTCTACATGAGTTTGTGGCAAAATGCCCCCTAAGATTTAGAAACCAATAGGGAATTCTGCCATTACAAGTGATGGACAGCACAGGCCAGGAGATCGGATCAAAGGGTGGGAGCTAGAAATGCTGGAGCCCTAACTTGGGCTTAGACACGGATCTGTCAAATCACTTCTCCTTAAGTATATGGGCTGGATTTTACAGATTAGGATAATGATACCACCCTACTTCGTGGGACTATGGCAAAAAAATAATATTCAAACAGTGCTCTGAATGGGCCATAGGCTATATAGCTAGTGAGTTGGGGAAAGCAGCACAACACTTCAGATTTAATTCATTTCCTGAATTAGCACCAGAATCCCAAACATAGGGTATGAAAGACAAATATCAGAACCTACTGTCCTGGGGACCTTTCAGATAGTGTTACTGCTCCTAACAAGTACAGGATGGGATCCAAAGTTCTCCACTGGGGTGCGTCTACACTACACTGTTATTTCGAGATAACTAGCATTATTTCACAATAACAATGTGAGCGTTCACATTGCCATTCCATTATTTTGAAATTATTTCAAAGTAATGGGCGGCTTATTCTGAAATCTGTAAGCCTCATTCTATGAGGAACACCACCTATTCCAAAATAGCTATTTCAAAATAAGGTGTGTGTAGATGCTCCATTGCTCCTATTTTGAAATAGCCCCCCCAGCAGGGCAATTTCGAAGTCATTCCTCCCCGGTGCCTCCTGGGGCTCTAAATCAAGATAGCACATCTACATTAGAGAAGCCTGCCTCAGACTCATTTTGAGGCTTCCCTGCAGCATAGATGTGCTATGTCGAAATAAGCGAGCAATGCAGATGTATCCTAGAACTAGACATTCTCAATTTTATTCTAAGGGTGCTACAGTTAGAGTCACATTAAACTACAACCCAAAAGTACCTCGAGTTGCTTCTTGCTCCCTACAACCATCCCCCTACCCTCCCACCAGAAAAGCAGCTAGGGAGAAGGATTAACACACGTGATAGGTTCTTGGCTGGCCTCTGGAAATGGATCATTTATCACAGGGAGACTGAAGAGAAGGGATGAGACTGCTACCCGCAAGTGCCTCCACTAGCAGAGCTGTGGGCGCCAGGG